TCTGCACTGGCACAACAGCACAGAGGAAGGTGGCTTAAACTTTTCACCCCCATATCGTGTTCTTGATCTGAAATGCCCCCAATAAGTTGTTAGTGGCTTACTGTGCCACTAGTGCCAATGGGGCAAAATAAAAGCTCTGTGTTGTTTCAAATTAGGAAAACACCACAGAAATGAAAGACTTAAACCCCTCCTTCCACTGCTCCATTGTCTCCTCTCTTCCCACACGACCATTCCCTTGACATTGGTTATATCTAATTACCGTGTCTTTATAGTGTTGAGAGCCAAACAATGAAAAACACAATCAACATGTTTGGCTCCATTAGGATTCAAGTATAAGCACTACAACAACTGCACTGGGGTTCTTTAAATTCTCCATGGCACTACAAACCCCAAAATAAATACTTGTGACAGCATGGAGTAGTGTACCTATTCCTATGGTATACACACACAATGGTATAAAGAAACCTAGATGAAACTGTGGGAATCCTTATGCACTGGTTCATGACAATGACCTTTTCCTGGCATTCAAAGTGGCTTATGTCCTCCTAAAACAGTATTACAAAATTCATTAAAATGAATAGCCATTGAAGAAGAAGAAGAAGAGAAGAGATTGGATTTATACCCCGCCCTTCACTACCCAAAGGTGTCTCAGAGCGGCTTACAAACTCCTTTCCCTTCCCCTCCCCACAACAGACACCCTGTGAGATGGGTGGGGCTGAGAGAACTCTGACACAAACTGCGCTTTTTCAAGGACAGCCGTGCCAGAGCTTGTGACTGACCCAAGGTCACATCAGCAGGTGCAAGTGGAGGAGTGGGGAATCAAACCCGGTTCTCCCAGATTAGAGTCCGCGCACTTAACCGCTACACCAAACTGGCTCTTGAATTAATTGAATTAAAAGGATCATAATTAAAAGTCACAGCACACAGATTTCACAACCAGAAGCAAGTACAATGTCACTAAGCTCGTATGAAGAAAACCAAACAGTCCAGAACGAACCAAGGTTATAATCAAAAGAGAAGGAAACACTGAGCTTACCATGAAGGCTCTTCTCATCACTGGACTGACAGGCGTCCTTAACATTGGGTTACTCCTCCTCCTAATTTTGTGGGCAGGGCTTATGCAAAAGAATTCTGCAAGGCTCCCTCTGTTGTTTGGTGGTGGACCTCAGCTCCAAGCTTCCAAGGAAGACAGGCCCACCTCTATGTATAAACTTTTAATGAAAGCCACCAAGAGGGGAAGGAATCCAAGCCACCAAGAGGGGAACCACCTGTTGGGAGTACTCTTCTGCTGAAAGCTGTCTCAGCTGAGGCAAAGACATCTATTCTGTAACAGCTCACAAGGGTTGAATTTGAAGCCCACGTAGCTGCCCTACAGATTCTCTTCTATAGATGTGTTGGTGGAGATGGCTGCTGAGGTACCTGCCACCCTGGTGGAATGGGCAGTGACCCCAGAAGGTGTCGGTACATGCTGGATCCACGAAGATGCAGGCCTTGATTCATCTGGCAATAGTTGATTTAGATACCTTCTTTCCCATGCTACTGGGAAGGAAGAAAACCGTGTTTGACTGTCTGAAGGTACCTGTATACTTGAGGTAGTTACGCAGTGTCCTTCTGATGTACAGTTTGTGCCAGTCCTGGTCTTTAGGATGACTGGGATGAGGACAGAAATACAGAGAGGAATCTACTGGTCTCTGTGGAACGTGGAGTATACCTTCAACGTGAAGGAAAGGGCTGTGCATAAAGTCACAGAATCTTTCCGGAAAAAGCAATATCCCTTCCTAACTAAAAGAGCTCTGAAGCCCTCCTGGCTAACATGAGGGTAATGATAAAAGGCTATTTTGAGAGCCAGAATCCCCAAAAGAGAGGATTTCAGATGCTCGACAGGAGATGTGTGAAGAACTCTGAGCACTGTATGGAGGCCCCAAGAAGGGCAACTATGTTGAGTGGAAGGACTGTACAGAGACCATCCTGGAGATTTAGGAGGAAGGAGAGCTGCTGCTGAGGAGCTGGCTGCTGCTGCAGCAACTTGAGAATGCTCTGAAATGGGATGAGCAGTGGAGCTTGGCTCCAGCTGTGGCTCAGCTCCTGACAAGGCTGGGCACTCTTGCCGAGCAGATTTCTTTCTCGTTGTCCCCACCACTGTTGTAATTAGGCAGGAGGTGCAGGAGAAGGTGGCCAACTTCTTACGTTCCAGATTTTTTTGCTTTCTTGTTCGTTATTTTAAGTGAGTGAGCTGCTTGTCCAGCCATGCAGTGGGCTGGGCCTGGACTGTGGTCTGCCTCCAAATGCAGAAGAAGCCTTGAAAAATTAATTTCAGTAAGTCTTGCCCGTGGAGCAAGGAGGAGGCATAACCTAATATTAAGGATACCTTCCTCCATTGATGGAGAAGTTCAAATCAAACGGAAAAGCAGAAAGAAAATGCCAAGGTCTTCACCTGATACCTACATATCTGAAGACAAGGTACTGGGTAAACCTCCACAAGTATGGTGCCAGGGGACGTTTTGGTGGGGCATCCAGAGGAGGGCCTCTCTAGAAGACCTCAGTCAGTGGGGCTGGATTATACAAAAAGGGTTACAGTTCCTCACATAATTTAGCAGACTGCCAATATCAAAGCCAGAGTTTACTCAGAAATAATTTTTAAAATGGTCTTGCCTATACAGAAACTGATATAAGCGAATGTTTGTACAGGAAACAACGGAGACTTAATTTACTCAGGGTGTTTTATAGGAATATCCTATAATGCTTAATACATTTTAATTTTTAAAACATCACTGACTTTTCCAGGAAAAGTCCCACCTTGGGTACTCTGGCACAGAGAAAAGCATCTCTAAACGGGCTGAAAAGAGTGTCGAAAGGGGGCCGATTTTTTGTGATATGTAATACATATCCAGAGTTTTCTGATTTTTGTTCTGGGTTTACTGTTTACGTAAACGTCCCAGTACCAGAAGTTTCTGCATTTTGCTAGTCTAGGGCCAATGTCATTATATGTGGAAGGTCCATGAAGAGTTGTTTACATATCACAGTGGCACTGCCAAACTGGTATGAGACTAATAGTATTTGATTTCATCTTTCCAGCATTCCCTACCTACCTGGCATTTGAAACTCTTTAGGTACTCTGCTCCAACCAGGTCTTCCCGTTCAAACCCGGGTGCTTTCTTGTAGCTGCTGGCTGCAGTTACTGAATCTGTGGGAAAGCCAATGCTTTCCAAGCTATGGGGTTTTCCAATGGCACCAGGAGGGGACCCACATATATTAGATGGGCTTCCAAGACTGCTATTTCTACAGAGGATCTAACACAAGGAAAAACAACACATGTCACACCATGAGAAGAACTAAAACAGTCTGCATTTACTTGTGATACCCAAGATTCTAACATTGTCTGTATTTATACTAGTATCCCTGGACAGAAAAAACTAAGGACAGCTTTGATGTTGTTAACATCAGGCTGGATCCAACCATCCTGCAAAATAAAATGAGCACACGAAAGGGATTTTTGCTACCTTCTTGCTATCGGTGCACACCTCCACACACACCCATGTGTGAAAAGGGAACCAGGGGAAATCTTTTATGCACTCTGGGACGAGCAGAGTAAGTGCTGTGATTGGAGCATATGGTTCCAAGACTGCTCTTACAACACTGGAAAGAAAGGTGGATTTCTGCCAATTCCCTGTTTTGCTGCAGTCCCCTGCACTGCATTCCATGTTGTTCTTAAGGGTCCCCTCCCACCAAAGTTCCCTCTAAGCTGTGGGGTCTTGTGAGCAAAAATTCTACTTTGTGAGCGACTAGCATTAAAGTTGTGAGCAAGCAACATGGCCACTGCATAAATTAGCTTGCTCTGGAGCCATCCTTCCTGAGCTAAGACAAAAAATGTGTGAGCCGGAGGCTGAAAAACTGTGAGCTAGCTCACACTAACTTAGCTTAGAGGGAACACTGCCTCCCACCATCAAGAATGGCTTTTGAGATATGCACCAAGGCTGCACTAGGAGGGTAAAGTAACCAAGAGTCCTTCTGTGAATGTGCTCTGTTAGTGAAAGGGTTATCCTCCAACCCAGAATATCAGTTGCAAGGGTAAGAACAGTTTTGCTTCGGGTCCTTGTCTCAGAAATGCAGAGGCAGTTCAAGCACAGCCATTTCTTGATACCAGAGAGAAAAGTGACCCAAGTGCAAACTCACATTGCTACCACTAAGCCAGCAAGTTTAATAACACTCCCTAGGCAAGTGTTAGAAAATAGTGAGTTGGATCTAGTGAAATTTTCCACTTGCACTAGAGTTCTTGTGCAATCAAAAATAAAAGAAAAGCTTATATTGTAACCCCACTTGCACTTCCAATTACACAAGATCTTGGGCAACCAATTTCTTGGTACTATAATTTATAGGGTGGAAAGAGCTAGGTGTTGCACGAGACCTAGCGCAAGCGAAACTGCACTAAACCCATTTATGTTTCTATTTACTCATTATTGCCCCTCCCCCAAATATAGAAGATGGTTTCTAGTGCAAACCTAGTAGCTCCTTCAGAATCCTGAAATTTTCTGCTTTAACTTTTACAAAAAAGTTTCTAATACTCATGGCTGGAAAAAAAATATCCAAACTAAGTGACCAGTTTTCTGTCACTGGACACGGCTTGGGAGAGGATTACAGCAGTCACAGGGTAGAACACATTTACTTTATACAGCTTGCTATCCTTTTTACATAATATCCATTCTCTGTACCCTTGATCCTGCATCTCTACAGCTTCTAATGTGCTACCTTTTCACTCCTCCTCCATCTAACTCATGCCTATTCCAAATTTTCCATCCAGATTAACCTGTAGGCTCATTTGCTTCACTTACATTGTTAATATCCAGGTCTGATCACATAACCTCATGTGGGTGGACAGTTTTAGAAACAGGCTCCCTCTACCAGCCCACCAGAAGGAACTATACTGTAATCATTATAGGGCACACTGCTGCCATGGTATAAATGAAACTTTTCTACCTTTATACACAACTAGGAGTGGACATGTCTCCAGGTTACTGTAAGTCATGAGGCCTCTTTTATTGCATACTCTGAGGTTGCAATGTGAAAAAAGGATGAGAGCTTCAATCTGGTAACATGCTTAAGTAACAACTTCCTATACTAGTCAAGAAAGCTGTGTTTAGAATAAGTTATAATACTATGAACACATTCACAATAGGGAATAGAAACGTCAACAAAAGTGAAAGGGGAGATTCTCAGGACGTTCTGTGCCCAATACCCATAACTGTGCACATACAGAACTGTGCCATAAATATATCGGCTTGTATCCAATGAAATGTCAGCAGGTGTTTTTTTTTCTCTTGTATTCTTCTCCACTATCACAGTCCCTTCCAACTGCTGAGGAAGATAATTTCCGGGGTCACAAGAACCATGTTGAAGGCACTGCATCATGGATTGGATGCTGCAGTGAGAGCATGAAGGACTATTTCACCCCATCCCTCCTCCCTGTTGTCCCTTCACCCACTCAGATATTCCACCACAGTGGGTCCTATGATGGCCAAAACAATCTTTCCCGGAAGTCAAGATAGCAAGGCCAGAGAGGAACATGGGAAAATGCATGTTCCACTGATGTTTTCTTGAACACAAGCCGGCACTGGTTAGTGTTACAACAGTATATGACAAAAATCAGGCTTGAATGAATAGTGGCTGCTGAAAGGACCCTATGATAAAGTGTTTAATTCTCACCATGCAGGCTACACAGCACTTGTTATTCTTTGCAGTTACGGCAAATACTTACTGTAGTGGAGGTTGGGCTAGTTGGCAGAGTTCCTGGTTTATTCCATACCTACACGTGCAAAGAAAACCCAAAAGCAGACTACATGAGCTAGTTATTTACTTCAAAGAAGTATTTAGCTTTCCATAATCGATTATGCATGGAAGTCATAATTGTTTCATTGGTACTATTGTCTCTGAATGTTGGTGATCGTACTTGTTTATTATTGTATTGTTTTACTGCACTGCTGGTCAATTGGCCGTAACAATAAATTTGATTTGATTTGATAATTGTTTCACCCTGCTTGTATGTTCTGTACATAATCAATCAGAATGATTAAACACCAAACTTGTGCTTCAAGATTGCAAAAACATCTGGATTGGTAGAGGATGAGGTATTGTGCACATATCCCAATGGCTGGGTCACCAAAAAGGTAAGAGCTTGAGTTTAGCACTACACAACAGCATCAACTTCTAACCACAGTTTGAGGTAGTTCTCTAGAAGTATACAAGCCTCTGTCAAGGGATAACTATGCCTGACTCATAGTTAATCGATGGCAACTACTCTAGTTTTAAAAAAACAACACCCTTGTATTCACACAAACTCTGGGGCTGTAATACTAACCCTTTATTTAGGAGTTGTTGCCATTATTCAAAAGGAAGCATTTCAGATTAAACCAAAACCAGAAACAGTGCTCAAAGTTCAAAGGGTGGCTTGCTTAAATGGCACATTTTTTTGGGGGGGGGGCACAGGAGGAATCTGAAGAGGTGCCCACAAGAGAATCATTTTCACATGATCAAAAGACATTTCCCAAGTGAGACTGATTCTAAGCAGGAAGCATTACATCAGTTTTACATTTTCAGGAAAGAAGCACTAGGCTTCTCCATATAGAAGTTCGGAAATGACTTCAAGACAATTTAAACAGATCAATTTGCCTAATCAACTTTTAAAGTTGTAGTTGATTCCAGTGATTTAAGTCCACGTCTCCTCAGAACCTCATCTCACAAATGGAAACCTGCTTTCTATCTGAAAACAAAACTACTTATGGAAAAATGCTCCAGAAGGTTCTGGAAGGTACTGATACTTGAGAAGTTTACAGTGTACATCGACAAACTACAAAGGACAAGAGATTTCTTGTGCTGCTACATACATTGCTAAGGTCTGGGGCTTGTGGGCTGGAAGGGCTGACTGGAACAGAATCGCCCGCTGCTGAGGGCATGTACATTACAGGGCCTGTTTGCGTTGGGCTGGAAACAGCTGAGGTTGACTGTAACTCTTCACTAAGTGGTGGTTCTGTAAGAAATAAAAAAAAATCCAAGATGTATGCAGACAAGTGCAAAATGAATCACATGGTGATAATAAGAGAAGAGGTTGCACTGATCCAGGCAGCTCTGTGTCACAAATCTTTCATTTCAAGAAATCTTCAGACTAGTACAGAAATAACACAAAGCCAACATAATAAAAAAAAATCAATTCCTAGTTTGTCATCTAAAAACCCCCCACAATTTTCTCCATAACATTTTTAAAGAATAGCAGCCATAGTCATTCATACAATCCTAGTGAATCTGGGTTTCCAGATCATGAGTGCCTACTGGACAATGTCCATGAGAAAGAGCCCCCCATTCCCAGCACACATACACCTGGAATAGCTTTGTATTAAGAGAAAGAGCACATGTCTGTGTGGGAAAGAATCTGCCTATTTAATCTGCCTATTTACATAATTATTCATGTAACCATGTAAAATGAAAAAAAATATTCAAGGCTATCTACTTCACCATAAAAATGCTCTGGCATCTCAAGAATATTTGCTTTTCTAAAAAGCCCTATTTTTAAATACCATTTTTATGCCTCTTGCACTTACAAAGCAGAATTATCCCTTATCTCCCTTTCCGTACTTTTCTGCATCACAGAAAGAGAATTAGGGGAAATGCTACTATAGAGACGTTCTTCTTTTTGCTCCACAGAAGTAATCCCATGTTCACAGCCTTAAGGTGGCACATTACAAATTACCCACAACAAACCATAAACAGTACAATTCCTTGAATAGCCACTTAATGTCACTTCTGCTTTGAGGAAATACAACTGTACTTATAACTGTAACTGGCTGTTAGAGTTCCCCCCCTTCCATCGGTACACAAAAATATTAGACATAAAATAAAATTCATTTTAATGTTTGCTGTTGGATATTTACTCTCACATCTTGTATTTTTCATGTTTGCTTGTTTGTTTGTTTTTTTTGGCTTGTTCAACCAAATGAAGTCAAAATCTACTGGTCACATTTTGACAATGGCCAATACTTAGATAAGAAAAACCCACGTACGTTCTACATGTGCAAAGGCACAGAAGGGACCTCTGGGACAGCTGCCAGACTGTTGCATGTCATTACATTTTGTTGATTTATAGATCTGGAATACAAAACAAAATGTGGATTGTGGCATGATAATACTGAGTACACAGATATACCAATAATGGGTTAGAGAGGTAAACATTATGAAGTGCAACACAGGTTTGCAGTCTCTAAAATTATGCTTTCAATGTATGATTCAGTTCCAGCATTACATCCAATATCCAGAGAGTTGCTTTTGTGATTTCCATCTTAGAAACTCATACTTTAACGTATTTCTTACTATTAATCACTCTTCCATCTTCAAGATGGTTCCCAGCACTGGATCTATCTGGAAATCTAACCTCATTTTATAGGATAACATTGCAGTAAAATTTTGGGTATTACCCACTGAGGTAAATGCAACTTGCACAGTACTACAAAAACCATCCCGTATCCATTAGCAATCTCCACAATCTCACTGAGATTTTAATATGAATATCATCTGTAGCGCAATGTTTCAGTACAATTAGCAGATAGGTAAGAAAAAGAGAAAAGTTGTTACTGTGCAGGCACACATGGGCATACAACCTCCGGGAGGTTTTTTGTAGCTAGCATAGCAACAGGGTGGGGAGGAGCCCACTCTGAGACCCAGTTTGGTGTACTGGTTAGGAGCGCAGACTCTAATCTGGGAGAACTGGGTTTGATTCCCCACGTCTCCACATGCAGCTGCAGATGTGACCTTGAAGTTCTTTCAGAGCTGTTCTCTCATGAGCTGTCCTCAAGAGAGCTCTCTCAGCCCCATCTACCTCACAGGGTGTCTGTTGTGGAGAGGGGAAGGGAAAGGAGATTGTAAGCTGCTCGGGTAGAGAACTGTGGGGTATAAATCCAATCTCTTCTTATTCTCCTAACCAGAGCTGACAGAGCTGTTTCCCGCCTAAATGGTCCTGTGCTCTGGGGAGAGACTCCACACTCTCCCTCAGTTCTCCAGAGCCCGCACTATGAGCTAACAGTATGACAGTTGTAGTTAAAAAATAAAAATTCACAGAGAGGTCAGAGGGAGGAATGTGTGCCTGCACAGTAACAACTCAATGAACAACAGTTACAGGTAAGTGCAACCCTGTTTTCATCATCGTTGTACTGTGCAGTCCCACGTGGGAGTCTACAAAGCTATGTATATGGTGGTGGGGGTGAGCATATTATTGAAAAAGAGAGTGTAAAACTGCTGTCCCTACTGATGTCTCCCTTCTTGCATTCACATCCACAGAATAATGCCTGATGAAAGTGTCCTCAGATGACCATGTGGCAGCTTTGCAGACCTGTCGGTGGCACACCCCTCTGAAAAGCAGCCAAAGCCACCTGAGATCTTGTGGAATGTGCGTGTATGTGCAATGGACAAGTTATGCCTTCCTGTCTGTACACCGTTTTAGCAGTAGAGACAATCCATTGAGATACTGTCTGGGAGGATGGTGGCCTTCCCTTTGATGGACCAGTGAAACGGACAAACAGCTAGGGAGATCTCCAGAGCCCCTTTGTCCTTTTTAAAGCGTATTTGACGTCCAGAGTGTGGAGTTTTCTCTCAGCTTCAGGGGAAGGGTTTTGGGAGAAAAAACAGTAAACAAGTATCCTGATTAAGGTGGAACTTGGATACCACCTTAGGGAGAAAATGTAGACTAGGCCTCAGTACTACTCTAAAGTCATGGAATTTCACAAACGGATAATCTGATCTGAGTGCGGTGACTTCTCCTACTCTTCTGGCAGAAGTAATAGCCACTAAAAAGGCTTTTTTTAAGGGTAAAGTGGAGAAGTGGCCAGAGGCTCAAATGGTGGTTTCATAAGGCGAGTTAAAACTAAAGACAAGAACCATTGGGAAACAACAGGAGCCCTGGGAGAGTGGAAATTGTTGAGGCCTCTGAGGAATTTCTTTGAGATATCTAAGGATATAGTATAGTATAGTAGAATGGAAAGCCGAAATGGCTGCCAAATGTACTTTAATGGAAGAATTTGACAATCCAGACTGTTTTAGATTAGTTAAGTAGTCCAGGACTGTATAAATTGGGCATGTTTCTGGAAAGACCGGCTGATCTTTAAGCCATCTCATAACTGCTTCCATTTCCTGGAACTGGATAATCCAGTTGAGAGTTTTCTAGAATTAGTCAGAATATTCTGAAGTGTCTCGGGAAAACTCAAAAATGTGGGGTCAGTAGCCACGCTGTTAAACAAAGGTTCTCCAACTGTTGTGGATTGCCCTGTGACTGCTCACGACCGTCTGCCATCTGAGGAAGATGGATAAACCTGTTCCATGACCTTTGGAGAAGCACCTGAAACCAGAATTGAGGAGGCCAAAAACGGGTGACTACTATGCAGTGTGAGTTGTCGGCTATCAGCTTTGCAACAACTCTATCAGGGGTAAAGGAGGGAAGGTGGAGAACAGGCCTGGACTCCGTCTCAACTGAAAAGCATCCCCAATTGACAGAGGGTCTGTGCCTTCCCTGGAGCAGAACTGAGGAGCTTTTGAGTTGTCTCTCGTCACAATCAGGTCTATATGGGGGAACCCTCCTTATGCATAGATGGGATAAATGTGAGGAAGTCGAATGGACCATTCGTGGTAGAGATGACCTCGTCTGTTCAACTGGTCTGCAGTAATGTTGTTTACACCTGCAATATGAATGGCCTGAGTAGTAGTTCGGTTCTTTATGGCCCATTCCCAAATGTAGATAAGCTCCTGGCACAGGCAGAGTGACATGCTGCTCCCTCGTCTGTTGAAACAGAACACTGCTGTAGTATTGTCTGTTTGAATCAGGACACTGTTCCTGTGGATAAGTAATGAAAAATGGTTAAGGGCATAACGAATTGCTCTTGAGTTCTAGCAGATTGATAGGAAGGGATTGTTCAGTAGTTGACCAAATACCACTAACACTGTCCCCTTCACAATGTGCACCCCAACCTGTGAGGGAAGCATCAGTTGTAATAGTAATCTGAGGAGACATAACCCTGAGTAGCATTCCCACTAATACGTTCGAGGCAACTGTGTACCATTCCAATTACCTCTGGATTACACAAGGAATTGAGAAACAATGATTCCCAGAATGGTAGGTAGAGTTAAATGCCCATATAAACCAATTTTGTAAGGGGCTCATCCTCAACTGGGCAAAGGGAACCATAAAGATAGTGCAGGCCATAAAGTCTAAAAGCCTCTGATTATCAATAGACTTCTGGAAATGGTTAAGTTGAAAATGAAGGACCAGCCCTGACCTGGATAGTCCAGGCAAACCCAATCTCGTCAGATCTCAGGAGCTGAGCAGGGTCAACTCTGACAAGTACTTAGATGGGAGACCTCCTTGAAATACCAGAGGTGGGAATCGGGGGCAGGCTTTATTCATCCACCTCTCTGAATATCCTCCAGGCCCCCAGTAGGGGTCAGTCACCAGAGGTCGCCATGACTTCCAGGTGCACACACAGCCAGTCACCAGAAGTTGCCATGACTTCCAGGTGCGCACGCACACACAAACATATACAAAAAATACCACCACCACCACCCAAAAAAAAAAAACCCAAGGAAAATGAAGGACCATATCCCTTATAAGGTTGACCTTAGGTTCTGGCAGGAAAATCTTAGCTGCAAGGGAGTCCAAGGTGGTTCCAATAAAGGAAAGTTGTTTCCATGGGGTAAATATGGATTTCCTCCAATTAATGTGCAGACCTAGGTGTATATGCATTTGCAATGTAAAAGCTACATGTTCTTGGAGCTGCAATTTGGAGGGGGCAGTAAATAGCCAGTCATCCAGGTATGAGAATACCTGAACAGCCCCCTTGCTCTCAAGCAGGCCCGCTGCCAGGATTGTGTCTACATGTGTGTCTGCCATGCTTATACTTCTAAATAATAAAGACAAGTGGTGCATTGCTCGGAAATGTTTCAGATTTATTACAAAGATATTTACATGCAGGATATAAACAAACCAGCACCTCTAAAGTATGCTAACCATTAGAGAACTTGGTTGCCATTCTACACTTTTCAACCTGTTGAACAATTATAGCAGAAGTTGATGAGATTGGGCACAAAAATTTTCTATGAATGCATCCATATTGATGTTATTTGTGATTGTTTTCTCATAACCTAGCAACACTAGATTGTTTTTCCGGAGATGGGACATTGGCAGCCTCTATGGCTGTAAAATGCAAGTAAGGCAAGAGAATGCTAACTCGCATGTAGCATTGGATGCTCCAAAAGTTAAAGCAGCTGCAAGGACTCTGTGCACATTTAGGAATGCACTTTTATAGTAGAAGAGCACAGGAAGAACATTATAGACACTGTTCTCTTCTTTCAGTTGTAGATTTATTGATGTTAAAATATTCCTTTTTACGAGATCTGCCTCTAGTGCAAAGTCGTCCTCATTAGCATTTATTTTTAATTTATTATTTGTATTTATATTCCACCCATCCCACGAACAGGCTCAGGGTGGGTAACATCATTAAACAGATGCAATTACAATTTAAAACACAATATAAACATTAAAAACAATGGGTACAGCTTAAAAACAGACGTCAGCTGGCTATAAAAATTCTGGCTTAATGGTACAGGTGAAATAAAGGCCAGTTGTCAGTAGTCAGTAGGTGGGTGGGTGGGTGACAGCAACCCCAGAAAGGCCATATGTGGGTGCCTGTTGCCTCAACCAAAGGACTGGCAGCACAGATCCGTCCTGTAGGCCCTTTAGAATTGAAGAAGATCCTGCAGGGCCCTGATCTCAATAGGCAGCATGTTCTACCGGGCTAGGGCCAGTACAGGAAAAGTCCTGGCCCTGGTCGAGGCAAGACGGATGTCCCTTGGGCCAGGGACCCCCAGGAGATGATCTTTAGAGCGTAATGCTCTTTGACGTGTGTATGGGAAGACGCAGTCCCTTAGATATGTTGGTCCCAGTCCGTATAAGGCTTTAAACATCATAACCAGCACCTTGAAGCCAGGGGCGGACCGAGGTTTTTTTGCGCCCTAGGCGCCCCCTGCGTGCCCAATTACAGGGTTGCCAACCTCCAGGCGAGAAGTGGAAAGGGGAGTCCCGGGCCAAGCCCGCGTGCCTAGTTCGC